CGTCGACCGACACCCCACCCCCAATCCAGTCCCAAATCTAGTGTGAAGGAGGAAGGGAGGAGACAGAGAGGAGCCTCCCTGTCCCTCACTTGCTTGTCACTGCTGAGGCATCGAGATCGATGGCCTCACTGGGTTTTGTTTCTCTTTTTTTGATTGGACAGCTTGGACCAATGGCGCTTTGCCATTGGTCCAAGCTATCAACAAAGCTCACGCCTCTAACAAAGAGTAGAGGCTGTGAAAGCGCTCCGTCCATGACAGGTTACACAGCGGGGAGGATTTCCCTGCTCTGTAAGCTGTAACAAGCCACTCTGAATGGAGAAAAAGCTGTCAGCTTCAGACTTGAAGCGGACAGCTTTTCCCTCCATAATAGTAGGTGAGTACTCACCTGCCTCCACTGACCGCACGTCCCGGGTACTAATTCTCTTTGTCAACTATACCTGACTTAGCTTTGAAAATGAAGATAAACCTGTGCTATAGAGTACATGGAAGGAATGAGGATGATCAAGTGGTATCATCCTCAAAGTGTCAGATTTATCATTCTGCTGTGGCTGACAAGACAAACAAACAATCCATGTGATATTGGCAGCCACATGACAAGGATGCTGCTACTACATGCTGCGGGCTGCTACTTTTTCACAAGCTTTTGATTAGAAGTTTTATTTCTGCTACTGGTACTACCTTTGCTAATGCCTCTGACATCATTAATTGGAGGCAACAGTGGCCCTGCGCCTTTCTGATAATGAGATATATATTCTCCCTCACTGCCTAACTGAATAAACCTGAATGGACTTTGTGAAACTGACAAGCCCATATTCATCAGGCTACAATGTTAATTAAAGTACACCAAATAGTGGCTAAAGCAAGCTAAAATGACATATGGTAATATTGACAGAGAAGTCACTTTAGCATACCTTAAGCACACTTTAAGTGCTGCTTTAGTGGCGATTTGGCAAAATAATTAGGACAAATTAACGAAATCCAAAATAATGAAAGCTGAGCGTAGTTAAAAACGTGTACAAGCCTTTGCAATCAATCTGCAGTCATAATTTCAGGGATCCCAACCTGAAAGAAGCACTTTCAGGGAGGTGTCCCTCTCATTTCAGGGAGGTGCCCTCTTCCCCCCCCCCCCCCCATCCACGGAGGGCGGGATAGGGGGGGCTGGGAGAGAGCACCCCCTGAAATGATGGCAGATAGCACAGGAAGCAATAGCTTCTTTGCTATCTGCAGGCTTTTTTTTTTTTTTTTAGAGGACATTTAAGAGACTCTGTATTCCAAAACTATGAACTGAAGAGGCCAGTACCTACCTGTGTACAACAAATGAAGGCAAAAGAGAGCGTTAATAAATAGACTGATGACACAATAACATCAACTGATCTCTGGGGTCCTCTTCTCTGGAAACAGAAAAAATGAACATTAGGGGAATATGCATGTAGGAAGAAAACAATATAGGAGAGGACATGACTAATGCAACTTGTCAGTTCACCTTCAGATAGGACCGGAGCGATAGCCACATCTTAATGTTCTGCACCTTCTTCAGCCTGAAGTGAGGGATCTCAGACTTCAGTGCTTTTCTAGCGGAGGTCAGGGGTCTGAAAAGCTTGGCTATCAGAAACCTCTGCAGGAGCAGACAAAGACACAGTGATGTTGATAGTAAGGATCTATAGCTGCAGAAAGCAGCAGTATATAGATGGACGGAAAATAATACAGGTTATTCACAAAGTAATTTCTCACTGGAATTGAACATAACAGATTATCACAACAAGTATCGGATACAGCCACACACACTACAGCCAGCCAACACCCAAGTAAAGCATATCTAAACCCAAAACCAAAAATTTACTACATTGCAGCATAGCAATCCTTAATTCTGGTGGCTGTATTAGTTTTCTTTTTTTGGCCTGGTTTTCCTTTGCTTTCACTTGGTGATCCAGCCAGTTACATACTTCCTGTCTCACCAGGGATGCGGGAGGTCTCACTCTGTGCCCGGGTTGGTCCTCTCTCTCCCCCTCTGCCTGACACCACCCCTAGATCCCTCCCCCCTCCCTCCCGGGGCCCTCAGGTGCAAAGCTGCCTGCATAGTGGATGGAGGAGCGAGGGAGTGTGCTGCTCGGACAAGCTTCGGTCCATCGGAGCAGGCTGATGCATAGAGCTGGGCAGGCTAGTGCCCAAAACTGCATCGGGCATAGCAGGCCAGGCCGCACATAATTAGGCTGATTCTGTGCGGCCTGACCCACACTGCTTCCTCAATGACCTCTCCCCCTCCCCAACAGGCGGAATGCGACCCTGGTAGTTACGCCAGTGGTAGGAACATTACCTAGATGCAGATGTACCTTTAGTAGTATGCATCTCTATCTGATTTATATTCATTAGGACTCTCATTCTAAGACTAAGGCCCATGGTCAATGATGTTGCTTTGTTCTGTGCAATGTGATCTTACCCCCTGCAGTCTCCTTAGAGACATAGCTTGCCCTTCTTATGTGTGATGTCATATTGTTAAATATTTCTATATTATTCAGAAGAAGTAGACATATTTCAATGGAGCACTTCAAGATAAGAACGCTTCTACTACCACTTACAAACATATTCTGGAGATGAGTTTGCTCATCAACAAAATATAAGTTCATGGAAATCATTTGGTGTGCAGAGGCTGCCTGCCCAATATTTAAATCCTTTATATTCACATTACTGCCAAACTTCTGGATGTTAACTATAAATTAAAACAAAAAGTCTCAGGTTTTAAGCAATACTATTGCACTTCCTTAAAGTAAAACTGAAGCCAAAAAAGAAAAATGGATTGTTGAATGCAGCTAATATAAATACTTGTATTTGGTGTCAACTTCTTGACACCAGCCGCAACCAGATTAGGAGATGGATGGGAAGTACTAGGAGACAATCAAGTGCTCTGCAGTGTACATGTGTTGACAAGGAAGAGAGAGCAAAGTGATGGCCTTATCAGTCTACTGCTGATCCTTCACTTTCTAATTGGAGGCTGGGGGGTGTAGGCTGGGGGACAGAGATGTGACCCAGCTTTGTTGCTTACGTGTAGCAGAGAGAAGCCAGGTCACCATGAGGCGGCACCCTCATCCATGCTGTTAAAAATGGATAAGGGAATGGACTAGTGTAAGGCCAGCTTGATTGCCAGGCCTGGGTGCACAAAAATCCTTTGGCAGATAAAACAGCTCCCACATATGTGTTTCAGCTGTTTGCCTGGATTTCCTCTTTAAGAGAAGCACGACGGTTATTTATTATGCTGGGCACACACCTTACAACCATCGCAAGACTTTTGTCTTGCGACGGTTGTAAGATAATTTAAAAAACGTACGATCTGCCTATCTTGCGATGATCTTGCGCCTCAGCGGGGCGGGCTTCCGATGACCACAGCGCTGAACGGGCAATGTGCGCTTGCGCACACCGGCCCGTGCGGCATTTATCTTACGAACATGCCACACACCTGCGGACAATCGTACGATTCTCGGTGGGTTTTCGAACATGTTCCTAAGATAAAAGTTGTGCGACTCTACCGTAGCAGAGGTCGTATGCCTTCCACACACCTTGCGATAATCGTACGATTGCGGGATTTCCCGCGTTTATCGTACGATTATCGCAAGGTGTGTGGGCACCATTATACTATCGTGAATCTCAGGAAGATATCTGTGGTAAAGGGATATGGAGAAGTAATCTAAAATGCTTTTTGTGCTGACTGGCAGTTTAAGTTTATGCACACAAAGTTTCTCGGGGATTAGTCAAAAGCTGAAGCAAGAACTGCCATGGGATTGTTCTTCATATTAACTCTTCAGCTGGGACACATGGGATTATTGGATTGTCATTGACAGGCATCAGTTCTCTACAACCGTTGGAATTTTTCATCCATGGAAAATCCCAATCTGATTATTTGTTCAGTTTGCAGCGTTTGCAGGCCTAATTTCAGTGCCAACTGGGGAATTATCATCACACTGTATACTTCTGTAGTTTTCCTTGGTTGCCTTATACACCTATAGTATGCTCAAGCGATTTGTCATCCTTGCTACAGTAATCTTTTTTCCATAGTGTATTTGAATATTTTTTTTCCTCAGCTCACCCTGGCTTTTAAAAGTCACTGTTCACTTGCATTATTAAAAGCCGGGCATGACATTTCTGTAGTGTCCTTTGTAACATTGTAAGCTCCGCACTTCACCATTCTCTGTGTGAGTCTGCTGAAACGGATAGATCACTCACCGGACCAAGCTCTAGTAATCATTTCTAGGCATATATCACTGTGTATTTAAGCCCAATTCTGTCTCAGAAGGCTGCTGAGAATTGTAAACACAATCATGATATGAGTAATACATTGAAATAAAAGAGTACATTTTGAAATAGAAGGTATGTCATCACCTTCACAAATCCATAACACAATCTTAGGATACTAGCTGAAGCCATGCAAATCATTCCTTAAAGAATTCCAGATAAAGAAAAAAAAAAACTAAAAACTAAAAAACGCCTGCAAGGGTTTAAGGAAACCTGGGGAAGCCTTAAAAAATAACTATGGGGTAACCTTTTTATCCCATAGTTCTCTTTAGGGTCACGGAAGAACATATTCTAACGTCCTCCCGTGACCCAAAGCTCAGTATAGCTTGCTATATATGGAGAGTGCCGCAGCTGGGACGGATCCCAACAACACTGTCGAGATCCAACCAGCTGGCTGATTGATAGTGGGCTCTGCCTATCTAGAGGCAGAGCCAGCTGTGACACGACCACTCGCCCCACCCTTGTGATGATGAGGATAGTGGTCCTTAAACCACCAGAGCAAATGGGAGAAGAGGCTGCGAGGACCGGTGTAGCAGCCTGAAAAAAACTGGCGGTAACAAGGATCGGGTAAGTAAAAACAGCTTTAATAGTGTCTCCTAAACAAAACAAGCACTTAAAGGAGAACTATGAGGTGCACTGACTGTGAGATCCACTGACCTGCATTTGACGGGAGGACGCCGAGGTGAATGCTACCTGCCATGAGACTGATGATCAAGTAAACAGCTTCATTTGAGACCCCTAGACAAAACCAGCACTTAACCTTTGCAGTATGGGAGTACTGAAAGGGTCAGTTATTTATTTGCCTGGAGTTCTTCCTTATACTTCTCTAGATAAATGTACACCCATGACGGCTTGTTTAGTACAGATAAACCCTAATTGTGTAGTCATTCATTCCCACTTACATACAACTAGTTTGGACTTCTTTGTCATCATCAGTGCTAGGTATAGAACAAATGGAAAAGAGCTTGGATCTGACCCAAACAGGATAGTTATTAAATTGGGCCAAAAGTGAAAAGCTATTCCTTTTAGTGGGAACAAATGACTCTATATAATTAGGTTTATCCTTTTTCTTTCATATGTGATGGCAGTTAAAGTGATCTCAATGCTTCCTAAATCATTCTGCATCCTCATCTCGATCACTGCGTGATGAACCCACCACTTTAGCTCAAATTCTATGGACAGGTTTGAATGCTTCCTAAATCATTTTAGCTCAAATTCTAAGGACAGGTTTTGAATCCGATTGGTGGCTGTGAGGAACTTTGTATTATTGCTCTGAAATATTAGGCATTCTGAATGTAACAAACAAAATGAAACCTAAAGCAGGTGTGTTCAGAAACACATTTCCTGCAAAGCAAAGGGGCTTCTCAGATCACCAGCAAAAGGCATTGGTGTACTACAGCTTAGCCTAGATGCATTGCCAGCATGGTTGTAAAGGGTGCCTACCTTGGAGTGAGCGGAGGCAACTGTTTGTTAAGCAGAATGGCAGCTAAGCTGCAATTTCCATTAAGATTTCCTTACCTAATTTGGGGATAAACAGAACAGAAAAAAAACAGAAAAAAAACTGAGAATCCATGGAGAAGACTTATCCACAATGCTGTGTTTTCTTCATATCATTTACAACATTTTTTTATGGAAAGTGTAAAAAAAATTATATATATATTATATTATATTGGTGGAGCTTCTAAGACAGCGGCCGCATCTAAACAGGACATTTCTAAACAGGACATTCTACAGCAAAGTAGATTGCTACAGATTGCAATCTAATATAGTGCAAGCATTGAAACCAACCTGCTTATATGTCCTCTCTGCTACACACATCAAGAAGAAAAACATCCATGTCAGGCAGCTTCGCAGCACCAGATTAATCGATGATAAAATCAATAGCAGAGGAGTTGGTGAGGCGCCACAGAAGACCGCTAAAATCTCCTTTCCAGTCAGTGAAAAGACCTGTTCCAGGTCCCTCTGATGACATAAGTGGAATAAGAAGGGGAAGACAGCCAGGGCCACAGTTACCGCATTTCCCAGCATCTGATAGCCCACGCCATGTTCATAAGATCTCACCTAGGTGGTACACAAAACAGAGAATGAGGTTTCTGGACAGAGAAAGTGTAAACAATGCTTCTTGGCTAAAATGTGTTATGATGGCCAGTGTTATATTGTCTGGCTCTTCTATAATATTTCACAAATCATGATTCCCAATATACAAGAGAACATTATTTACCTAAAACACATATTACCTAAGAGCTCCTTTACAACAAAAACAAAACAACTTGTATATATCCTTAGAAAATGGACCACACTAAATACATTTTTTATAACAACCAGAGGAAAGGAGAAGTCAGCATGCTGTCCAGCCTATCAGATTCCATCTGTCATTTTTCAAGTGCAAATGAGATTTGAAAGGAACACTTTCTTTTTGTTCTTTCCTTCAATTTTCATAAATACTTTAAATACATTTTAAAAAAACAGCTCTGCTTTTTCATGATATGACCGATGTGTGATTTATTAGTGTCTGTCAGTGGCACCGGCTGACCATATCACACCATGCGTGCAGCCAGATGGGGTTAACCTGGCAAACAAAACAAAGTGAATGCCTTGGACTTAAAAAGAACTCATGGAAAAATTGTTTAGAAAGATACACCCACCAGATCCTTGGGGTCACAGTGCTAAGAGGATTAGGTGAGTATAACTTTTTTTTGTTTTCCTCCCTAGATACAAATGAGCAGTTAACCATTGCAGGGGGGGTTACATTTTAGTTCTTCTTTAAATCACAAACTTTAATGGGAAATCATTTTGACACATTTATAAAGCTGGTCAGATGAGTGCTCGATTTTTTTGTTTTTTGGCTTATTTTAGATTATATGAATAATAATTTGAAGTTAGACGCATTCTAAATAATACAAATGGACTTTTGAGAACATTTTGCACTACTCTAAACATGGCATAGCCAATTATTTACAAATGAAGGCAGCTAGGTGAAGCAGCTAGTGATAGCATTTTTACCACATTTCAGATCAACCTTCTGTACACTAGGGGAGCCATCAGCTACATGTATTGTTTTATCTAAAAATCAGGACAGTTGGGGTTTTTTAGGCAGCCGACTGACAACTTGCACACCAAGAATTTTTTAGAAAAAATATTTTAATTGATTAAAAGGTAAGTAGAATTGATAAAATTGACAACATGATTCCCCTGTAAGCTCATTCCACATTAGTTACATTCATTCATATACAGATGACATTCATTCATATACAGATGACATTCATTCATATACATTGGCCTTCCATATCTGCTGGTTTACCCATGAGAGCGGCCTAGAACATATAAGGGAAGACACTCGTGGTGGTGACTGGGACAAGATCATTCTCCAAAGAGAAACCCAGTGGATATACAGATTACGGGCTACTCAATCACCTGGACTCAATGAAAACCTAAGCTTTAGACCTTTTTTATGACATATACTCGAAAAAATCCTTATACATAGGGCCTAAGAAGGCGCCTGATGTGGGCACTTCACCAACAAACATCTATTTAAAAAAAACATGAGCATAAATAACAAACAAAAACACATAACAGTTACCCAACCTGATAGGTATTAATTTAGTTAATCACCTTATCCAACAAATGGACCTAGGCTCCACAAATTGGGTTTTTGTTATCAGTCCTGCATGGTGTGCCCCTGCCATTTCGATGCTCTCCTTTCTATTATATTTTTGCCTTACCATCTTTTTCACCAAGTCTTACCATTTTCGGATGGCACTACTTTTTATATATATATTTTTCCTACACCGATGAGGGATTCTTTCCCCGCTGGATCCGCTGACTTATGGGCTGTGGCCCACTGCGAGAATTGCTCTCCATCTTCAGGCTAGAGGATTGCACTCCTTGCACTGGGCCGCTGTCGTCGGTCGATCCGGTCATGTGAGTTAACCAAAACATACATGCTTATAGATGTAATTATAATTATTTTCTTTACACATGGGCAGTGGTGCACTTCTCGCAGTGGTTCCCATCTCCGGATGGGACCCGCTGCCTGGACTGCGCCACGGCCCATGAAAATCTAGGGCGGAAAATGCATAGATTAGGGAGTTTTTTCTCTGCTGAGTCGGGTGTTTTTGGGGGGCTGCGGTGCACTCCGAACAGTGGTCTCCATCTATTACTGGTGGACTCCACTGTTCGGACTGCACCGCTCTCATGGGTAAACCAGCAGATATGGAAGGCCATGTCTGCATGGATGTATCTATGTGCTCTTATTCAACAGATACTTTGTACAGTATCTATTTCACTCCTTATGGGAGTTCATGGTCTGTGGTCCTTGGCGGACTCCATACAGCAGTTCCTACTCCCTTTCTTGAGGGGATCCGTTGACTGGACTTCGCGGAGACCCACTGACATGGCGTGCGGGAAATGTTCCCTCCTTCTTTCCCGCACCTTGGTGTATTTCAGTGATCTTTCCCACACATATTCCTGCTATAGTTTCCACAATATAGTTTCCACTTTATAACAACTAATAATAGATCCAATATAAAAATGTCTACCATGTACTGTTTCCTTTGCTAATCTATTAATTTCGCTCCATTGTGTAGAATAATCTATGGACTAAATCAAAACAAATACTATGAAAGTTTTACAAAATATACATCAATTGTAGATCATGAAATGTTTGATCCATATTTTCATATGCGACTAAAAAGCTATTAAATACAATTCATATACGCAAGCGCTGTTGGTGATGTATTAAGATGTATTATGTGTGCATCCCACGCTCCCCTGTCTCTCCTTTTTTTCATCTTTATTTCCTCTCTTATCTGGCTGTGCAGACATCTTCTCATTATTCTTTTCCTAGCTCTCTCTTCTTCAGTATACCTTATCATGCTTTCTTCTCCCCCTTCTTCTTCCCTTTCCTCATTATTTATCCTTTCTTTTTCCTCCCTATCCCTTACTATATCCTGATGGGGACCCCGGCCCTAGGGACTGGCAGAAAGGGTGCTGGCCTCCACAAACCAGAAACGATCCCATCATGTGTTCCACTGATTTTACCACCTTTCAGAGCGCCAGTATTTTCACCACGCTCCCTGGCGATTTGCACAGGGAGCTGTTCCTGGCTTGGATCAGGTGACGATGCGATGACGTCACCACGGGAGCGCCGTTATTAGCACCCACGCGAGCCCCCAGCGTCAGTGTACAGCCTGCAGGGCTGTATTAGCTGCTGGGGGCGCGATATCGAGAGAGAGAGAGAGGAACGGCTACCTTACGACACTGACCGTCAACTTTTTGTATCTACTCCCAATCTTTTGCGAGTAGTGGTATGTACTTATCTTAAGCACTATATCCAGCAAGGATGATAGGGTACAGTGGCTTGTTTCCACTGATACTCAGATTAGTTTTATGTTTTCCTTTGAGGCCCCAAGTGGTATCCTCTAACTTTCTGATTTGCTTCTCTAACAAGGTACCCCCGCCATCTCCCGATTGGGTATGCCTCTACTGGGGTCTGGGGCCTCCTTTCATTCTCTCTCCCTTCTTTCTCCCCTCCCTGCCATTTGCTTTTACTCTTCCACGGTCTGAGCCAGGGGGAACGACTGGGACGCACACAGACTCCATGGGTAGGTGATATATTGATATATTTATATACATATATCTACCTGTGTACCATACCACGAGACAAGTTCAAGTGGCTGTGTTTGAAGCTCAATTATGTTTATATCTTCTATATATTTTTCCTAAACTGTATAGACAACTTCCCTCTTCATCTCCTGAAGAAGCGCTATCTAGTGCGAAACGTTGAGTAAATCAAGCTCCTCCATCATCTTTCATTATATTAATCATGTTATGTATTCATGAATTTTTCAATCATGTTTTTTCAATCATGTTCCATTGCACAAGATTCTGATTGTCATCTGTATATGAATGAATGTAACTAATGTAGAGTGAGCATACAGGGGAATCATGTTGTCAATTTTATCAATTCTACTTACCTTTTAATCAATTAAAATATTTTTTCTAAAAAATTCTTGGTGTGCAAGTTGTCAGTCGGCTGCCTAAAAAACCCCAACTTTCCTGATTTTTCGATATACCATTTTCAGGGGTGTTGGCATCCTATGCCTTGATCCAGGTCATTTCCTTTTCAAATCAATTTACATGTATTGTTTTATTGCTGTCTGTGCCTTCCTGTCCTAGTGACCCCAGCAGAGGCGTCTCTAGAGTTTGCGAGGCCTTAGGCGAAACCTAAACATGAGGCCCCACTCAGGCCTGTGGGGTCTTACCAGGGCTCTGTGGGGTTTAACCAGGCTGGTGAGACCCCACAGAGTCCTGAAAAAATTAGGGCTCTGTAGGGTTTTACCAGGGCTCTGTGCGGTTTCACCAGTCTGGTTAGACCCCAAAGAGCCCTGGTTAAACTAGGGCTCTGTGGGGGTCTCACCAGTCTTGGTGAAACCCCACAGAGCCGTGGGGAGACCCTACAAAGCCCTGATTTAATCAGGGCTCTGTGGGGTCTCGCCAGAGCTCTGTGGGGTCTAACCAGCTTGGTTAGACCCCACAGAGCCCTGGTAAAATCCCAAAGAGCCCACCAGGGTAGGGTCCCAACATGGTTCTGTGGGGTTAAAAAAGGGCTGGTGAAACCCCACAGAGCCCTGGCGAGACCCCAAAGCGCCCTGGTGAGACCCCACACAGGCCCGGTTAAACCAGGGCTCTGTAGGGTCTCACCAGCACCAGGGCTCTGTAGGGTCTCATCACCAGCCTGGTTAGACCCCTCAGAGCCCTGGTGAGACCCCAAAGAGCCCTAGTGAGACTTCAAGAAGCTCCGCAGGGTCTCACCAGGACTCTGTAGGGTCCCACCAGCACCAGGGCTCTGTAAAGCTCTCTAAGGTCTCACCAGGGCTCTTTGGGGTCTCACTAGGGCATCAGGGCTCTGTGGAGCCTCACCAAGGTTCTGGGGAGTCTAACCAGCCTTGTTAGACCCACAGAGTCCCGGGCAGATCCCACAGAGCTCTGGTAAGACCCACAGAGCCCTGGTTAAACCTGTAGGGTCTCACCTGGGCTGTGTATGGTCTCACCAGCACCAG